GAAAGAGGAAGGGCTGCCAGGGGAAAAAGTTGAGGGGGAAGCAGAGAGCAAAGGGCTACCTCATACCCCATATTTATTTTCCCTGCTGCAGCAGTGGGAATGGGACAAATTCAAGGCAAACCTCTAATAATTAGATTCTATACATAGAAAATTATATCCAATTTATAAATTTTCCATATACAGAATTGAATTATTAGATTAAATGGTCTCCTATTTGATTAAATGTGGTAATGATGTACTTTGCATTTTGCTCTCTGTTTAACTTTAGTGAGTCACTTCTGTAACAACTTGAAAGTTTACTAGTGTAAATGTGTTTAAAGCAAACATATTTTAAAGTGACTAGTTTTTAGAAGGATAACATGTTTTTGGAGACTTGTTAGAGAATGTCAGTTTTTATTCTAATTTTAGAAATCAATTTTTCCCCTCAAAGTTTATACAGGCAGCCAAGCAGCTAGTAACAAACTTAATGAAAGACAACCATATGGACAACTGACATCATTCAATTATCCATGTGACAGTTTAGCACTTAGAATGCCAAAAGACATTTTTACCTTGATTAGTTTCTCTTCATGTTCTTCGTTATCTGAATCATATGGAACTTTCCTTAGATTTTCCACATCCAAATAAAGTTGCTTATAACCAGATATCTGCAGCAAACATACCTGCAAGTTTGTCTTAAACCTGAAACAAAAAAGAAAGCCACATGATCTTCAGGGAGATAGATAATAATTGACCACAAAATTACATCAATGCTAAAGTCACAAGAAAGTTATTTGGGCTGTATTATGCTAGCTAGGGTATAATGAATATCTGGAAAACAAGGTACACAGTAAATCTCATTTCCTAGCCTATCCACATGCTCTTTGAACTACAGCAGACTGCTTTGGAATGAATGCTTTTGGCCTGATCTTATTTCCATTTAAGTTAATGGAAAAGCTCCCCTTGACTTCAGTGTTGAAGGATCAGGCCCTATTTGTACAGGCACACGGAAATAAAACCCATAGCTATGAGCTGAACTGCACTTATTTTTCTGCATCTGGCCACCACCCCCCTACCCCCAAAGCACTTACAGGATTTACTGGGACAACCCCATTTTCTGTAAATTTCACCTATCTGAAATTTTAAAAATAGATTCAAGCCATCTATCAGATGATTTGTGCTAACCTACACTGGAGAATGTTCCAATGGCAGGTTTTAAGTAATATCTCAGCCTGTACAGTTGGACATGAAGACATTTTTATTACTGGAGAAAGGGACAAGATCATGTTTGCCAGCAATGAACCCAACATTTACTTCAAAATCTCAAAGGTCCCAAACAATTTTTAAAAATTCAGTTTTAAAGCTTCTTCACTTTCTTTTTCGTGCCATTTTAAATTAGTTATATTTTTGCCCCCTAAATTCCAAACGGCTAACAGTAAAAGATGCAAGACCCCTGACACAATAATGTCTGTATAAACTCATTCTGATACCTTTTCTATCATACCACATTGTGTACTTTCCACATATATATCTTACAGTTTGCAGCCCACTTTTATTATCTCAGAATGATATCACATTAGGCAACTGATTTATTTCTCTCATTCCATAGACATATAATGGGCCCAAAAAGGTGCGTTTGGTTAAACGGATATAACAGCAGCAAACATACTCTTTATTCTTCTGTTCAATAATCTTCTTTTCTTTCATTATATCAGTGACACATTTTTCCACTTCATCTTCACCCACATATACTGCATTTCTTAACACCTATAGAGTTAAAGTGTCAGAGAATTTGTATACAGAAATGTAAGCATCTATGCTGTTATAATTACTAGTCTATATTTACACTCATTGATTTTGTATCCTTTAAAAATGGGAAAAAAGACTTGCCACGACTTTAGTCCAAAATGCATTTACCTTAATTAAGTAAGCTTATTTTCCTTGTATTAAAAAAAAAAAAAGAGGACAGCTTCATTCTTCCGTTTTTCAGCCAAGTGAACAAATAAAGTCATTAGAAAAATGCACAGCTTCTAATTTTTTCAGATCTCACATTAACTAATAGAGGGCCTGATATTTTGGATGAGAATCCCCTAAAGAGAACAGCAGCTGCTGAATATTCTGTTGGCAATTCACACCGCTGAGTAAAACCTCATTCTGCCTAATTGTTCCCACTGAGATCAATGAAAATATAAAGCAAATCAGTAACAGCAATATTTATCTTCTAATTCAATACTGAACAAATACCTCTCCAACAAAAGAAAGGAAGTGAGGTCCAATGTTTGGATGACAGGGCTTGACCATATATTCTTAATACCACACTGCCCAAAATCTAGATTAATATATTTTAACTCTGGCAAATTCTGATACTGGGTATTTACATTCAGCCCATCTGAAGTCACCCTGTCGTATATTATTTTCACTTCCTGTAGCAAATTCTTTGAAGCCATTATGCCTTCATACCAGTTACCACACTGTATTCCCAAAGTAGACACATTCAGTTGTTCAAGATATGATTCTTCTTTTTACTGGTTATTTTGAAGAGAAACCAGAATTAAGATACGATATGTTTAAAATATTTATATAACAACTAAGGCCTCTTGTTAGCTACACCCATAACATGCTCCACCATGACACAAAACCATCTGTTTATACCAATCACATTCCCATTCAACACTGTATTGCTGTGATCAGCCAAAAAAGGAAGAGCAGTCAGCTATCTTCATACCTAAAATAAAAATATATACATGAAATTGTGCTTAAAGTATGCATGTTTCATAGATTTCTAGGGTTGGAATGGACCTTGTTGATCATAGAGTCCAACCCCCTGCTCTAGGCAGGAAAGAGCGCTGGGGTTAAGTAACCCCAGCTAGGTGAACCCCAGCTAGGTGTTGGATAGTCTAAAACTGGGATTGTTTTCCTTTAACAAGTAGAAGCCCAGAAAAAAAATAGAATCAATTTGCCTTATGCCATTGAACAGCTAAGTATGTATTAAAATTCCATTTGCTTTAATCATATTGTAATACCTAATGGCTTAAATGTCATGTCTATGATTTATGCATCACATTTTCTGCAAAACTAGCAGAAGACTTCCGTCTGCCAGTCACATATCTTAGTTCGTCCTACCAAATGCCAGTCCAATGCATGTCTTAGTCCATCCTATCCAACAGCTTTAATTTTTTTTTTATGCTAATCACTGCTGCCTTGGTATTAAGGAAAATCAGTGCCATTCTACCTAGACACTCAGTTAAAGAGGAGATGTAGGTAGTACTGAATACACTATATATTATTCTATATATAACTGTCACGGCGGGGGTCCTCCAGGAGGGCCGTGATCTCCTTAAGGCCCCTTCCCCCGTGCCAAGCCGGTCCAAGGGCACCCTCTGATTCTCGCCCGCCATGTCTTTGGTGTTTATATAAGTTCAGGAGGCTGCCTTATGCCTTCTTGGACACGGTTCGCTGGGACCTCCGTCCCCGTGGACTCCTGGACTCCCCGTGGGTCTCACTGTACAACGGGTGCTTCCCAGGCACCCTAGCCTTATGGGCTATGCGTGGCTCCAACCACCCCTTATACCACGCCCCAAGCCTCGCAGTTGGGATGGACATTGGTCTGTCGAATACACTCGCCCGCTCTCTGGGGCCTCTTCTATACTGTCGCCTGGCTCTCGGGCCGTCTCGGTACCGCCACCCTCTCCCCGGGCCTTCTCTGTGCTGCCGCCCTCTCTCCGGGACCTTCTCTGTGCTGCCGCCCTCTCTTAGGGCTCTCCGTGCCCACTCTGGGTCTTCTCTAGAATATTGCCCCTCTCTTGGGGCTCTCTCTCCAGTGCTGCCTTTTTCCTAGGGCTTTCTGCGCCCACTTTGGGCCTTCTCTATAGTGTCGCCCCTCTCTGGGGCCTTCCCTGTGAAGCTGCCCCTTTCCTGGGGACTTCTGTGCCCACCCTGGGACTTCTTGGTCAAGCCACCTGTCTCTTGGGCCCACTGCACTGCTACCCCCTTTCTCCAGGGCTCACCGCACTACTGCCCGCTGTCTCCGGGGTTTACCGCAGTACTACGCCCTTCCTCAGGGGCTCGCCACACCCGCCCTGGGGCTTCTCAATAACGCCCCCTCTCTGGGGCTCGCCACGCCCGCCCTGGGGCTTCTCAATAACGCCCCCCTCTCTGGGGCTGGGGTCTATGTACCCCCTATGCTGCACCTGCACTGGCGCTGGGGTCCTCACACTCTGCTGCGAGTCCCCTATGAGGCCTCCTCCAACCCCCAATAGCCTCACCCTAGCCACCAGTGTAATAAATAACAACGCCAACGCAAAATACAAGCCCCTAGGCTATAACTTAACCATAAGCTGCCTGGCTAAAACCATGTTGCTCACACATCTTAGAGCTGCTTTCCTTACTCTGCTCGAGGAGTCCCTGCGGTTCTCGCATTTTAACTCCAGGAGCTCGAGCTCCTGCCCCTCTGGCTGCTGGCAGGGAACTGCTAGCCTGTCCTCAGCCCCTGGGCCTTATGAGAGCCAGGCCCTGCCCCTTCCGGTCAGCTGTCCTCCTGGTTGCCCCTGGCAACCCACAGCTGGGCTCCTTATTTCCTGCCAGGGCTCTCTCCCCAGCAGTTTCCCCTCTCTAGGAGCAGAGCACCAAGGTGCCCTGCGACAATAACCTTAAGAGAAAAAACAATGCAATGTTACTATAGACTCCAAGACATTCTGGCAAGAACACGTACTGTATTTCCTCACATACCTCATGCACCCCTTTCCCAAAATGCAGCTGCTGACAATTGAGAAATACGGTAAGAGACATTTCCGCTGCTTACTGCGCAGCAATCCCCAGACAGAATAATGAGCAGGCAGGACTCTCTAGTGACTGCTACTTAGTTGCTCGCTAGAAGGAAAGACCATTTTTTCTTAATTCTGCCCCTCAAAAAAAAGGTGTTCCAGGACGTACTGTATGCAAGAAGCTACAGTACTTAAGAGACATTGAACACTATCTAATTCTAAAAGCTATTTAAGGTAGATTCATCAGAAAACTATTGCTCTCTTACTAGTTCTTGCATAGCATATGGGCTTTGCCAAAAGAGACTGCTCCTAGACATGCTTATCTCCTGGAGCCACACTGGCTCACATGTCCCAGGATAAATTCTTTCAGCTAGAAGCAGGTAAGAGGATTATGATGATAATGACTACACCCTTAAGAATCACTTCCCAGAACAATATCCCAGTATTTCGGAAGATTTCCAGGCCACAGAAACCCTTGTTCTCTAAAGCAGTGCTTGAAGCCAAACAGCTTGTATTGCTTTGATGGAAAAAGAGATTGCATCCAGAAACAGAAGCTTGGCACACTGACTTGTCTGACCTGGCTGCTAAAGAGTGGGTAATGTTTCCGAGATGGAGGGCAGAAATTTTGAAAAGATTTGATCTAACTTTTTAGAAGCCTTTGAAGCCTAGAGTCAGAGGGAGCTGTTGGTGCACAGTGCAGGAGTAGCAGCTGAAGGTTTGCTGCTGCTGCAGAAGCTACCTCCTTTTTTTTTTTGGCACCATGTGTATAAAGCAATTGTTTAAATATTAGTTTTTTGCAGAAAAGGGGAAAGAGGTAAGAGAGTTAAGTCTCTGACATTCCTTCCTGATCCGCTCCCCAGCACCTTGTTTCTCCCAGGTACAGCCCCTGCACCATGTGCTGTTGCCACCCTGCGCCATCCCTGCTACTCTGCCCTCCTTGCTGCTGCAGCTTGAGCCAGTGCTTGGAGAATGCAGGGTGCAAGAAGGAAAGAAACAGGAGGCTGAGGAGCCTCCCTGCTGCATTCCAATACCCGGGTCTTGTGCCCTACTCACCCTATTGCTATGCTCCTATAATCTCTAGCAGATGGAAACCAAAATGCCACTTACTCTTCTCTCCCACTCCCCCAACCATTTTTCTTTATCTTTCTACCTCTTGTCTTGTTTTCCCCTTTACTTTGAAAATCAATATAAAAATAAAAATGTAAGAGAAAATATTTCTTAAGGGCACCTGCTTCTCAAACAACTAATTTGCGCTGGGGTGCGTTATCACTGTCACATCCTACCTTGTTCTTTGATAATTCCAAGGAGTGCTCTGCAGTACAAGAAAAAATAGTTATGGATCAGTTAACATGACCATACATTGCAATAAGCAGTGAAAAGATTTGCCATTTTTATTTTAAGTCATTTATAATTACTATATCTAACTCCCATTTCTTAGGCCCCTGCTACATGTTACATATAGTATGCAAGTCACTGGCAAATCACACAATAAGTTTTGACCAGCCACAAGTGCAAAGTGGTTACCACACAACTTAACAGTGTATCACGTAATAAGTGTAGATTGGCCACACGTGCAAAGTGATTACCACACAATAAAAGTAACTCTCCTGCTACAAGAAAAGCCAGCCAGAAAGCGAGGGCTGGGAAATGCATAACGACTCGAGATGGTTTCTGTCCCATTTTCATTTGAATGTGTAGCTCAGCCCTTCACTGTGCTGACATGGTCAGGATGGACCTCGGAGCCCTCAAATGAAAGCAGGACACAAACCAACTGTAAAGTTAGAGCTTGAAAACATGTAACAACTCTTAGAGCTGGTTTCTATCCCAGTGGATTGAAAATCCTGT